CTGTCCTGACACTTTTGATTTGTTGATTTTGTACTGTGTGAAGTAATTACATTGATGAGAATTAGATCTGATAAAAACACAAATTAGAGAAGTAAACTGCGCTTGCTTTTGTCTGAGAGACGTTAGCAACAGCATGAATAGAAATTGTCTTTAGGATTAGAATCAAAGTGACTTAACCATAGAGAGTAACTATTGCATAACAAGCTGTGTACAGGAACTGAGACACTGCACCATTGACCAGAAGTGCATCGCAAATGACCTGATGTGCTTCAAGTGAAAAGACTGTATCTGGAGATCTGATGTCCAACTGGAGAGACCAGAGCCATGGCTTGGACCCTACTGATGTCCAAGATAACATCTCTCGAAATATGACCTGACCTGATGACGACTGAGACTCACCCTCAGGGGACCCTGAGGACCTGAGGATCTGAGAGAAAACTGGGGAGTGATGTTTAAATTTTTGAAATCATACATTGATGAGTGCTAAATGAGAGAGATACTCATGATTCTTTCTTTTGTTTTTGTTTGTCCCTAGCTTCTGGACATCTGATGATCTATTGGACACAGCCATTTGCAGAACAAGAACCAGCCAATGAAAACGTCTATTGCCGATGCTATTGCTACAACTAGAACCTGTGACCAAATGCAATATACATGTTAAGTATTCAGACATCTGACAGACAAAAACTTTGACTTTTTTAGTCTGGGAGAGTGAGCAACTGTTAAAATGTTTGAAAATGATAAAGTATGAGTATTGTAGCGTTTTAGTAGATGTTAAATAGTAGTAAAAGAGTAGAATTTGACTTCCTTTGTTTTTCATAAACACATTTCCACGTAAGAGTTAAAATAGTACCCTACAATGTTATCCTTTTGATAGATCAGCTAAAATATTAGAATCAGAGTTATGTTACAGCCATTAAAAGTGACAGAAGTCACAAATTAGAAATATGCCTTTGCTCAAGCTGCAGCCGAGCTTTTGAGTTAAAAAATAGAGTAAAAATAGAGATAGATAAAAGCATCAACCATAGATGCTTTCAAAAATAGAGATTATTTCTAGCCAGTGCTAATATCAAATGGTAAAGGGACCATTTCACAAGCATTTACTTCAGAAGTAAATAAAGTTAATTACAGTTTATGTACAGTTTTATTAGATACTTGCCAAATTCACTTGTGTTCACACATGAGTGAATGTTGACAATGCAAAAGTCCATATGAGTGTAGCCTAGATTAATGTAGCCTAGATTAATGAGATAGATTAGCACCAACAGAGATTCAAAAGATTTAAAAGCATTTTGATGCATTTGTGTATAGCACAAAAACACAATAGTAGATATTTAGATATTGAGAAGTTTCCAGCACAAACACCATTGTAGAATAACTGACCCCAACCCCAAACCTAATTAGCTACTATTAGGATAATACTAATTTCATTAAAGATGTTCATTCATCCCAAACTGCCTGACAATAATATCTTTAGATAATAAAAAGTAATAAATCACTGACCACTATAGAAGTGTAAATGTTGACCATTTGCCTTACTGTGTTCACAGTTTTATTCCTGAGAATGAGAATAGACATGGAGCAAAATCCCACTGATAATAAGCCACTGATAATGAGAGTGTAAAACCACAGAGAGATATTTGTAAATAGATTAGAATAGTTTAAACTATAGTGAATAGAGAGTAAAGTACACAGTCTAAGATTAAAAAGTGAAAATAATACAGTGAAATAAGTGAAGTGTAGTGTAAACAATTAGCATTAGAATAAAAGTATAGAGTAATAAAAGTGAAATTAGCTTCTAAATTGAGACTCAGCTCGTTTTTGTCTGTGTGTTGACTGAATCTGCTGAGTTCTTGTGTGTCCAATAGTGTTTGTTTGTTTTTATTTTTGATTTATTTTTGTTTGTTTGTTTTTTTCCCAGGATAGAGGATAAAATCCACTGATATTGATTTGATGATTATGAGTTTAATGCATACATTTTCTTTGTTTTTAATAATTTTTTGAAGTTTTTTTTGGAATTTTTTTTTTTTTTTTTTTCTTTTTCCATTTTATTGATTGATCGATTTGAGTGATCACATGTGATTATGTGATCAAAGGGGAGGGTATTAGTATTAGATAGCAATATGGCCTACGTGCAGGACTGTACAAGGACTCTACAAGGACTCCATGTTATGACTATGATTTGACTGTCTCTTTGTGACACGTATGTCTTTCGATGTGTGACGTGACAATGACTATATAAACTGTGTACTGCCTTTATTCTGTCTGAGGGAAAGAAACAGAGTAAACTAGTGGAACTTGAGAGAAACTTAAATAAACTTCCAGAGTTTGGCACACCACGATCCGTCTCTGTCTGCTTAAATCCTAACAATTTTTAGTGCTACTCATTACTCAAATATAGTATTCTGAATTTGACTGAGAGATGGGCTCCATTGGGCGACTTTCATTAATGCACTATGCTGAGATATTCAGAGTTTCGGTGGCTATAAATGTCCTCCTAAAGGTCTGTGGAACAATAAATCTAGTTATGACAAGGACTAGATGTATTGTTAAGCAACTGACGATAAGAATCCCATCCTCTGTTTTATTCATATTTGCTCAAAAATAGCTATGAAATCAACTTGCTGAACAGGTGCAATAAATAGAAGTGGAACAGAACAATTAAAAATACAACCTGTAAGTAAATGTAAGCTTGAGTGCACTACTTAGACTTGGAGACTTGTCAATGAAAGCAGCCAAGCTTAACCGCAATCACGGAACAAGGGACCAACAAGTCCAAATGAGATTTCTCTCTGTGTCTTTGACGGATAAATTATCAATCAAACTTCAGGGGGCAACAGTGGATCTGTTGGTTGTAGGTTCAAGCCCACCATGAGACTTCACAACTCCCACTGATGTCTGCTGTCATTGTGTCCTTGGGCAAGACACTTAACCCCACTTTCCCTGAAGCCCCCGCTGAAATATCAAGGCAGCTCAGGCTAGAGCAGCTGTTCTCCTGTGGACTCACCACCTGCAGATGGATTAGTGAGGGGTCACCCACCAACCCAGAATTAGATCAAGCGGAAGAACATACATGGATGGATGGACTTCAAGGTTCAATTATTAAATTTCCATATAGTTTCAATATTCAAATTGGTTTAATTACTCTGGACAAAGTACCATTGAACAGTAATAGCACACGTTTGGTCTTTCATAAGAATAACATTTTTAGAAGTTGGGTATGAAGCTGAACGCGCAAATTCATACTGAAAGACCGAGTGCAACTTACCTCTTCAACAACCAATCACACAGCTCCGCCAGCCTCGAGCCTCTGCCAATCACACAGCCGGGCCAGCCTCCTGCCAACCCTCTGACAGCTAAGTGGGCAGTTAAAACGCAGCAACTTCCTGACAAACAGCGCTTTCTGAAGCTCTTAACACCCACCACCTCCCCAGCACCTCCTCTGGCTCCGGCTCTGGCTCCCGCTCTAGGCCCCTGCGCTGGCTCCTGCTCTGGCTCCGGCTCTGGCTCCTGCTCCGCCTACACACCATTCACACCATACTCTAGCCATCACCAGTGCTTGACCCCGGGGATCTGAGATCATCTTCAGCTGCAATCGATCACATCGTTGCAAGTGTCACTGCTGGGGTCAATGCGCCAAATAAATAAATCAATTTAATGTATTAATTGTGTCTTTCAGATTGAATTATTCAATTGGATGGTATTGATTGCACAAAGTGTCTCTGCAGACGAAACCTCTTTGTGAATCTCTCTTTAAAGTCACTCAAGCCAATCCAACAATATAAATTGGCAAAAGCCTTAATCAGATAACAACTCTGCAAATATCCGTATGTCCAGTTGATGTTACTTGTTTTGTCACACAATTGAGCTATAGGGACATTTTATTTATCTTTAGGTTAATGGTTTCACACAATATGCCAGTAATACCTAATCTATATTTGAGGCCTCCCGACCAAATATTTGTTCTTCGCTTGTAAATGTATACTGGGTGGGCTAATATGCTAAGGCACATGGAAACTCTTCCGCATCAACAAGCAGCAGCTAATTACCCTTTTTGAGACCAGGTCTGCTTAGTTACATACCACAGAGTGCAGGGCTATAGTATGTGCCATAATGGCTATAGTGTCTCTCCCCTCTACTGCTTGGCTCCTCTTGTTGAGTAAATCTAATGGACATTTGCACTGACAGGTGATGCACAGCCTATCTCTTGTACACATACATTTGACTCACGTGGAGAAGACACAGCTGACTCCCATTAGCACCTTACCCCCCAGGGATGGATCATATAGGCCCATCTGTACTAGTCTGCAACAAAACCACACTGATGTTTGCACACACGAGAAGCTCGTGCATGTGTGTACGTGTACGTGTGTGTCTGTGTATGTGTGTAGGTGTTGATATATTTTAAATCAGATCCACATGTATCTTTAAGTTATTCAGCAATCGAGGCTATTATAATTGACAGCACAAACAAACAGGACCCGTGACGTCCGACGCCAGTGGGAGTGATCAAATCGATGAAGGGCAATGGGAATACACACTCTACAATGGCTTCTGGTGGCTTTTTGTGGTTAAATGTCAACGGGGTGCGCGACGTGCCCAAAGTCACAAATGAGCTGCTTGGCTGCGCGCTGGTGCAGTGATATGACTAATGATAAGAAAGAGAGCGCAGGTAGAACATAGATGCCATTATCAGTTTAAGGTCGAGTTTAGCGTTGATAACAACAATATAAATACCAAGGCTGGTCATGGCCATATTGAATCCCTTGAGAATGTTCGTATTTTTTTCTTGTATGCCTAAAAACCCTGTGCGTAAAAGTTCCCCTGACAGATACATGCAATAAGGGGAGTGAATCGGATTCACCTGCGAGCGCAAGTGTTCTTACAAATAGTGAAAGTGATTTAATAAATGAAATGCTTACATGTATAATGAGCATATGTTGACTTCATTTTGTCTTTTTAACTTGACAATTGGTGCCAATGCGTGCAATGAGACATACCTTCTCTTGGGGCGGCGGGGTCCCACGCAGACCACATCTGAACGGAGAAAAACGGAGTCCAACAAACGATGTACGCCAGGACTATGACGAACGTCATCTTCACAGTGGTGATCTTGGCTTTGGAGATGAGCCGGACGCTGCTCACACGCGCCAGAGTGTTTCCTTTTGAGGTTTTGGGTGTCAGACTGATACACTGCTCGCGCCTTGTTTTAAGCTTAAAATTTTGCCAAATTTTAAAGCTGATGAGACCATAACACAGGCTGAGTATGGCCACGGGGATGATGTAGATGGTCAGGCTGATCCATGTGATGTATGCTTTGGCCCCCCATGGCTTCACAAAGTCTCCCCAACAATCATAAACCCCAGACCCGGGAGTTCCCACTTCCCGGAGGGAGAAAATAAACATTTGGGGTACGCTGAAGACCAGGCTCATGACCCAGGAGCAGATGACATAAACACGGTCCTTGCTGCGGTTTAAGGAGCGCAGCGGCTGACAGATTGCCAGGCAGCGGTCAATGGACATAAGTACGAGCATGTACGTAGAGGCAAACATCCCAACCACCTGCAGGTACTTGACCAGTCTGCAGAGAAGGTCTGGTCCATAGAAACGGAACGTGATATCCCAGATAAGCTGTGGCAGGACCTGGAACACGGCTACTACCAGGTCTGCGATGCTCAAGTGCTTCATGAAGTAGTACATGCGCGACTGGCTGTGCTTGGCGCTGTGGATGGCCAGCAAGACGCACAGATTACCCGCGAGCGCAAGGAACAGGACCAGCGCCAGCACCGTCACCTCCACTTTGGCCACCTCCTCGTTCCTTTTCAAAGGGTTTGTTTGGTTTACAGAAGCGCTACCGTTTGACACTGGAACGTTTCGCCAAGTTTCATTCAGGGGCCACAAGTCAGTGTCGTTGAAAATACTCTCCATAGCTTCTATGTCCTCAGTGCGCGCCACCAGAGCGAGACAAAACTCACACAGAGGCAGAAGACAATTGCACCATCGTCAGAATATTATGTGCTTTTAAAAGTTTCTTTGAGAGCATCTTAGCATCCCATGGTTCGCAACACAAAAACACTGTCGCCATATGTTAACAATGTTGAAACATGAATGAATCAACAAAGCAGACAATTTTAAAACAGAATCTGTGACAAAATATCACAAAAGAACAAACAATAGTTCTCTCATAATGGTGCAAACAACAGAAAATGTTGTTGCAAAGGTCAAAATATTTTCCATCTCTTGCAGGCTACCTCTCCTCTCGTGGTGTGAGTAGAAATGGCCAGTAGCGGAGCGCACGAGGCTTTTACGCTCCTGCGTCAGTGAGTCTGAGCACCACTAGGGGGCCACCGGCAACAACCACCTCCTGCTGTCGCCTCACAGCCACACAACACACGATCCCAGAGACGCTCTCAAATGCAGTCATATTATTTTCAGTCCAAGAAAAACAACAAATGCGTCTGTGTATAATGTTTTCCTTGTTTTGAGTGAGATATATCATGTGCATGGGTGCAGCGTATTAAAGGTGACATACAGAGATGATTGACGTTACTTAAAGCACCCTGAGGTAGAAACAAGAAAAGACTGGGTAGTTACACCATGAGAGACCTGGAGGATTTGTTATTGATACGTGCTCTATCGTTAAAATGCGTGACTTGGTCTGTGAGTCATTTTGTCCAGTCTTTATCACACTCAGAAAATAAAATATGTGGAGCAGCAAAGAGAAACGTGACCGTGTGATATAAAAGACTTATTTGAAATGATTAAGACACAGTTATAGCTGTAGCTTGGTTACTGTCATGTTTAAGTTGCCAACTCGTGTAAAAAATCAATTTGAAAAAACTTGCAATTAGATTACAGTTACAGTGTGGGGATGTTTTATTATTTCGTTTTAATACAACACAAAAGCCACCATGTTATTCATTTACATTATCTCATAAATCTCACAAATCACTTAGTAGTTACTCTCTTAAGACTGAAGCAGCATATCTTTTTTTTCTTTTCGTATAAGTATTTGTATTGCACTATTCATTCAAAAGGCAACTCAATGTGCAACTCATTGTACATTAAAAAAAACAATACATATATAAAATCCCCCAGTTGTATGCGCAGCTAAACAGAACTGTTTGTAACCAAGATTTAAACATCGTCAGAGAAGAGCTCACATTTTCAGAAAGATTGTTCCAGATTTTAGCAGCATTAATCTCAAATGATGCAGCCTCCCCAAGTTTGGTTCTGACTCTGGGCACTAACCAGTGGCGTTCCAAGGGTACCCCAGGGCCCCAGGCAACAAAGTCCTTGGGGGCCCCGATACCGACCACATAACCACAAAAAAAGGTTTATATTACAGCAGGTATAAATATATTCCTACTTATTATCAAATATATATAAATATATCAATCCAATCAAAATGGACCTCAGGGGAGGAGACAAAGTCAAAAAACTGCTCCAGAGGGAGACATATTGGATAGACACGCTTGGAGCTTTACATGACCCTGGGCTAAACGAGGAACTGGACTTTACCCCATTTTTGTAGATGAGCGTTTGATAGTGGTCTTTGGTTCTATGTTTTGAACATTGATAACGATGAAAGTATTAACTGTCATTACACTGCTCTTTCTCAGTGCTGTACAGTTGGTGCCTCTATCCATATGCTTGCTCTCCGTACTTTTACCTGTGGTGCTCTATGTGTATTTGTTTGAGTGTACACAGTTCATGTATTTATATACATTTTTTGTATATAGTTCATGTATATACATGTATGTCCTTCCCAAATATTATATATTCATATATTATGAATATATATTAATATTTTGTATTATTTTCTGACTCAAGTCATACTGGTGATCTTGTATGAATGTATTGTAAAAACTTTTTAAAAATTGTGTAAGGTAACACTCTGCTACATCCTGTCATGTTGCTTTTGAAAGAGGTACACCTGAAGGTGATTATTTATGCCCTGACCGCTGTTGGTCGAAACGCGTAGGCAGTCCATTCAATAAAGGACTTTTATTTTTTCACTATTACAGAGTGCCTCAGACTTCTTCTTTTTGATATATAAATATATATTTGATAATAAGATAAAATACAATATATTTTACTTGTTTACATTAACATAAATAATAAATGTATATAATTTCTTATTTTCAACAATGAATGGATAGGCCTGAGGCCTGCCTGGTACAGTCCACCATAGAAAATTGTGAGTACTCACAGTACAAAGCAATGAGAAATAATTTAGCATGTCTTTTTATACGCTTGTTCACTACACTCATCATGTTATAATTAATTACAAAAACTACAAAGTGTATTAATCCTACAAAATCTAATCTTTCATTTGGCCCTCAGTGTTTATATAGTCTAAATTTAAGATTAGCTTCTTAGCTATAATCTGCAAAAAACGGCATGTTTTTACCTTTTACCGTTCTTGAGAAATCTGTCATAATATATAATATATAGTTTAATTCAAAACACTGCCAACGTCCGGATTCGAACTGCATCTAAAGAGAAATGTCTTGTCCACAAGACCACCATTACATTCAATAAACATGCCCCAGAAAGTGTTTTCAACTGTTCATAAAGAACGTGGGAAGCTTTGCATCAGACGAAAATTTACACCAACTTGTCACTGCAGGTAGCTGTTGTACTGTAGTCAGTACATGTCGACTGCTTGTGTCAAATCAGTCGGCCCTCGGGGGCCCCCTGCCGGTTTGGGGGCCCCAGGCAGCTGCCTGCCTTGCCTGTTGGCACGGGACGCCTCTGGCACTAAGGAGTCCAGACACTGCTCCTCAGAGTCCGGGCTGGTTCATATGGGACTAACATATCATAGATGTTCTTTGGTGCGAGGTTATTGAGAGACATGTAACAAGCAGAGCTGTTTTAAAGTCTACTCTCGGAGTCACAGGAAGCCAGTGCAGAGACCTGAGGACTGGACTACTGTGATCGATATAAGTAAGTAGTATCTGTAGACACTTACTCACCATAATGACAGTAGCCATTTGATAAAACATAACTCCTTTTAAATTGAAAGATATTAAATCTCCACAATAGAGGTTATATGAACACTGCAATATGGCACAGCTAGTTTCTTTCTTTTTATTCTGCATATCCTGCTAACTTCTCCCCATATCCTTATTATACTGCTACCATGGATCTATTATAATAACTGTATAGGGTATTAATATCTCGGAGCTGAAGAACCCATGTCCTCGGGGGATTCTCGCGGTACTGCAGACTAAACTAGACGTGTGCTACCCAGAAATGTTCCCCATAGAACTCGATGTAAACTAAAACAGCTCGACCTCAGCAGAACCTACAGCTTTAATAAAGGTCGGATTTTGTGGGGATTTTAGTGTCCCTTGTCATCCTGAACTTTTTTTCTTCTGAAATCCTTAAATTCACACTTTAGTGACACAAACTCTACCCGTCTGGCTCCTGCTCTAACTCCCGCTCTGATGAACTGCTCTGATTGGTCAGAGTGTGGCCGAGCCCCTCTATGCACGCGCATGAGAGCCACACACGCATATTTGGCACAACGCATTATGGGAGATAGTCCACTGCGCAGAACCGGGAGGACCAGACAATGCCCAAATACAGGCGAGTTCCCATGGATCTTTGCGAGTGCCGGCACAATGCGCCACTGAGCACAAACCATTTGAATATGGCGCCATCTTGGATCGCCGGGGCTTGACTGCTACACATACAGTAGTTACACCACAGAGAGCCCCGGCTGCTTTTTTAAGATTACTTGTCTATGGCTGTTCAAAAAGTGTGTCATATGTTTATAATTAAGCTAATGCTATTGACCTTGTTTTTGTGTTCTATCTCTTCCTACTGTTGTAAGCGATGCAACAACCACATGTCACTGTGGGCGGCACGGTGGCTGAGTGGCTAGCACTCTCGCCTCTCAGCAAGAAGGTCCTGGGTTCGAATCCCGGTCGGACCAGGGCCTTTCTGAGTGGAGTTTGCATGTTCTCCCCGTGTCTGCGTAGGTTTCCTCCGGGTACTTCGGTTTCCCCTACCACTAAAAATATGTCCAATAGTTCTGGCATGTGCCTCCTGTACTGGCCCCTCCCATCTCTGTGTGGAGTGAGAGACAAATGCCCAAAAATTAACAATTGTAAACCGCTTTGAGACTCAGATCTGCAGTGAAAAGGCGGTATATAAATAAAAACTTACTTACTTACTTACTGTGTGCGACAAACAAAGGTTCTCTCAAATGTCACATGTAAAAAGGGTTTCACTTATCATTGTTTGACCTTAGGCTTTGGGCGAAACGATCATTATTCAACTTCAACCGATGTCGGATTGTCTGAGTCAAATCTGCTTAAACACTTTAATAGAACAAGAATGAAGAAAAAACATTTTCTTTGATACTTGAATGGTATGAAAAAAGAAGATAAGAGAATGCTTAACTTGAGGATATTTGAAACATTGCATATTTCAGGAGGAATCTATAATTATTAAAGCCCACGGGAAAATAAATGGTTCAATGGTTACAATATGAAAGAGCCTGGTATCAAATTAGTGGGAGCAAAGCCGGCGTCAAAATCATGGAACTACAGAATTGTCCTAAACAGTGTATCGCCAGCAATCAGTTTTCCAATGGCCTGGGAATCTGTAGAGCGTTATTATCTACAAGTTTAGAAAGTCACCCCTGACATTGTCTCTCAATGATGCGAGGCGAGAGACAGCTAAAAAAAGTATGAACATTATGTCCATCTCCTCTTCCAAGTTTACTTTGGCGATAGAAAACTAACCATGAGCAGGGTACAGAAAATCACAAAAGCTGAACAAAGGCGATATTTGAGTGAATTCTGAGTGATGTACATAACCATCGAGCATCAGCCTGGTGGGACTGGAGCAGCTGCTGTGCCAAGCATATGCTCAGTGCCAAGTTTAAAGTGATTGTCTGCAGTTTGTCAGAAAGA